TTGGGATTTATACTTGTAGCTGCATCTCTGGACGTGGGTAATGGGTAGCTTGCAACAGCGCATTGCTCCCCATCTGATTTTTCCTGGGGCAAGGAAATGTGCTTGTCTGTGATTTGGGAAAACAAAGGCACCCCCCACCCAGCCAGTGCTTTGAGAGGCAGTGAAAGCAATTAAACGGTGTCAGAAGACCCAGGGAGGGTGAGGTGGTGAGTGACTGAGGGCTGGGCTGACGCAGGCACGCCTGGGTGGAGAGCTGGGCATGCCTGGGGAATAGAGGGTTATTGACTCCATCTCCAGCTGTGTTTCGTTAGCTGGAATCATAACCCACAATATTAATCTCTAACTATGTATAAAGGGAGCCCTAATACACGAGGCAGCTCTGCAGTGCCCTCATCACTCACCCTTGCAAAGGCTTTGGGAGTTGCAGAAACCTTTTACTTCCTGGTCACCACGCTCAGCAGGGAGAGGAGGTGATGTTCTGTCCAAGGGGTGGGGAAATCCTTGTGTTAGGAAAGGGAGGTGCAGGCTCTGAAGAGGTTTCCCCTGAGCTGAGTCAGTGTTTGCCCTGACAGCAAACATCTTTGACTCCTCTCAGGCATGGAGGAGGCGGTGCAGGGTAGGGGAGAGCACCCGTGAGATAACTGACTGCAGCAGGGTTTTGGCTGGATTTCACCCACAGATGTATTGTGGGGAGCAGGTCCTCAGTGAGGATCCATCCTCCATTCCCCCTGCTCTCAGGGCTGGAATCTGTTCTTTATACCACCTTCTGCCTGTACTCCCTTGGCCAGGGTGCTGGCAGGCAGCCTGGCTTTGCTGGGCTGAGCTATAAGATGTATTTAGTGCTCCATATACTTCATCCAAGGGTGCTGCTCCTGCACTAGCAGCTGGTGGCTCTGGAGCTATGGAAAATGCTCCCTCTGACCCACTGGCCACACCAGCCCTACCAGTGTAAGGAAGCCAGCTGGCAAAGCCCACCTTCCCCCTTCCCTTCAAGTGTGTAGAAATGGAGCTATTTAACAGGGGTAGCCAGAGTCCCAAGGTGCCTGATGCTCTGCAGAAGGTGCCTTATTGATTGGGTTGCTCTCCCAGGCATCAGATATCCCAGTGAACATCAACAAGTCAGGAGGCAGTTTGCTTCTGAAAGTACTCGAACCTTCAGGTTCAGTCTCTGGCAGTGTTCAAGGCCAGGTTGGATGGGGCTTGGAGCAAGCTGCTCTAGTGGAAGGTGTCCCTGCCTGTGGCAGGGGTTGGAACTGGATGAGCTTTAAGGTCCCAACCCAAACCAGTCTGGGATTCTGAAAGATCTCTCTAATGACACTGTCACACAAATACAAGCTTTTTTAATGTGAGATCATGAGGTTTACATCAAGTATCTATAAATCCTAATGTACCTCCCATTACATAGCGATGCCACTGCAAGTCCCTTGAGTGTATTCTTGCATCTAACACTGCTTTAAGTACACCGCATGGCAAGTGATGGTTGATAAACCTGAATCTGACTGCTCGTCCCTCCACATACTGCTCCGCTCTGTAGGTACTTGCCTGTCCTGTGTCTGTACCAAAGTGACGAAGGGCTTCAGCAAAAGCCATAGTCACAGGGATGAGTCCATGCATGGAGAGTGCTTCTCACAGTTGAGTGTGTTTTCTTTGTAGCTTGGACCAGTGCCCTTTCAAGTCAATGGAAAGACGATTGTAGCAGGCTCTGGCCCAGGCTTCTGGCTACCTTTGTGCTTAATTTAAAAGTGATGTGTATCTACTGTGAATGCCTCTAAACAGATTAAGCAAGTGCAATTGATTCAAAACTGGCTGTAGATGAACATAAAAGGCAAAATTGATTAGCTCAGTCTATTTTAATTTTCTGGGAATAGGGAAAGAAATAAATAAACTGCCCCAAACCTAATGGCACAAGTACAAAACAAGCACAACTTAAAAGGAAAGGCATTGCCAGTGCTGGAATGCAAGTGTTTGCAGGGACAGAACAAAAGCAGTGCAGGTCATCTGTGAGCAGAGATTGCTGCAGGTGCAGGTGCGCTTTCTCTCTTCCATTCATGTTTAAAGGAAGAAGCTCTGTGTGTGTTAGGTAGTATCATAGCATCCCAGCCTGGTTTGTGTTGAAGGGACCTTAAAGTTCATCCACCTCCAACCCCTGCCACGGGCAGGGACCCCTTGCACTAGAGCAGCTTGCTCCAAGCCCCTGTGTCCAACCTGGCCTTGAACACTGCCAGGGATGGGGCAGCCACAGCTTCTCTGGGCACCCTGTGCCAGCGCCTCAGCACCCTCACAGGGAAGAGCTTCTGCCTAAGAGCTCATCTCAGTCTCCCCTCGGGCAGGTTAAAGCCATTCCCCTTGGCCTGTCCCTACATCCCTTGTCCCAAGCCCCTCTCCATGTTTCCTGCAGCCCCTTCAGGCCCTGGAGCTGCTCTGAGGTCTCCCCTTCAGGAGCCTTCTCTTTTCCAGGCTGAACAAGCCCAGCTCTCAGCCTGTCTTCATATAGATACCTATAGAGATCCGTACATACGTATTTGTATATTACATATATAGGCTTATAGATCTCTGTGTGTCTATATATAGGTGTCTATGTGTGCAGCAGCTTTAGGCATATTCCAGGAAGGAATAAGCATTCTGAGGAGCAAGGGAGGGGGAACCTGGCTTCCAGGTCTAGTGGGCTGTTGCTCTGGGTTCAGTGTCTCCCTGTTTGCTGCACTCTCACTCTTGTTAGAGCTGATGAGTCCCTGGGCAGTCACTGAGACCTGGTAAGTGCTCCAAGGTACCGTAATGGCCATAAAATGATTTTTAGTGTCTGCTCGGTGCTGTTCTCTTCAGGCTGTGGAGTCACAGCAGGGAGTGAATTGTGATTATTTTGAAGTGGAAATTTGCACAGCCCTCGCCTCCCCCTTTAATTGTTATGATAAATTGCAACTTCAGACATACATATATAAAGCTCTGGCATGATAAAGCTCACGCTGATTTATGCCCTAGCTTTTCAGCATGACTGAACTCTGGTGCACGTACTGCCCTCCTTTGCTCTTCCTCTCCTTCCCCTGCCTCTCCTCCTCCCTGCTGTCTGTTAGCTGGAGTCACTAAGGTGGCTTTACACAGAGGGTAAGCTTGGTGCACATTCCAGAACAGGAAAGGGACCAGGGGTGGAAATACCCCTCAGTATGCAAGAAGTATTTAAGGGTAGGAGATGTGTGTTTTATATGAGATGCTCCTTCAGGGAGCAGTGAGAAGCCTTTGTGCACAGGGCCGTGTGTGTGTATCCCTGCCACTGTTACTGTGGAGGGAGCCCACAGGGTGAGAACTCGCTAAAGCCTCTGCAGCTTCATCCAGGTACTTGTGATACTTGGAGGTGTGGGAGCGTTCACCTTGTTGCTGTCCATGGGTTTGTCCTCTTCACATCACTCCCAAGAAGAAAATGTGTGTTAGTTTTCCTTGCATCTATGTGTTTCCCCATTTCTAAGCCAGTCTGGCCCATTGCTCCTCTCTCCCTTGGGTGTCTGCTGTTCACAGACAGCTGTGTTCTCGGCTTGGACATGCATCAGAATGGGAAGCTAATGTGCTTCCTTGGGGTGATGCCTTCCAGATGGATTTAGCCAATTATCACAGCGATTAGGGCTCCCCTTAATGACCACAAATGGAATTCATTGATGGAGGTAAACAAGAAGTTTTTGCTTTGTATTTGGGGAAAGTTCTCCATTTGTTCAATTAAAACAGCCTGGGCTCTTCCAGCACTTGGGCTTCCTCCATCCTCCCCTGTGGAGCCCGGCTGACTCCAGGACCATTTTGCCAGGTTTATGTGGGAAGTTGGAGTCCATATTTCAGAGAGCCTGGTACCAGTTAGGTGTTACTCTGCATTTACTCCACCTATTGACGCGCTTCTCTTCCTTGATATGGTCATGTTTCTTCTCTATGACTTGTCCTATCGAAGGAAGTCCTGTTGAAGGGAGTATTCCTGCATTACCTGTATGAAGAACATGCAGGAATCTTTTCTCCACTTCCCCTCACTGTGGTTCCCTTCCCTGTTTCATGATTGTATTTGTTTAAACGCTGAATTCTGGGGGGCAATGACATGATGGTCTCCTTGTGTCTCTGTGTACATCTTCCTCTTGTCTTGTGGCTGTCTTGGTCCATCACAGGTCAGGCTAAACATGCCAAGTGCTAGAAACATGTTCTGTCACAGTGAGAGCTAAAACCCATCAGGCTCTGCATTAGGCTGCACTAGGCTCACACAAATGGTACAAACCTAGAGTAATCTGTCACACATTCTCACTACATGCAGGCTGGGAGGTTGGGGTCATGTTGTGCTGTGTTCTGCACACAAATACACTTGCAGTGGGAAAGCAGCTTTTGCCTCCTGGGAGTTCTCCTGCTGTTCACTTGTGTCGTGTCAGAAGGGGAGCACACTGCCAGGACCACCTAGGGAAGGTCTGCACAAGGCAGGACCTGCTGGGTTCACCTGAGCATGCAAGTGAACAGTGAGAAGGAGCCTCAGTAATTCAAGATGAATTCATGTGGCCTGTTCGCTGGTGTGAGGGGCAAACTTGCTGCTGGCTGGCATGAGCAGTTTTCCCTTTGCAGTCAGAAGTGGCCTGGATTATCTGGATCACGTCCTCCTGGGCTGCTGGCAAAGGTTTAATGTAATCCAGTATGCTATGTTAATGGACAATGTTTGATAGGTAATACTCTGGAGAGAGAGTCTGGTGCCTAATTCTGCTGCCATCTCCCTTTCCTATTGGCATGGATGAGATGCAACCTAGGAATGAAGAAGTGGGAAGAGGCTGGAAGTGCATGGCTTGATTAGAACTAGAACTACACAGAGATGTGCCTCTGCTGAAAAGGCATGTGCAAAGTGAACACAGCCTTTGCCCACCCAGCATCAGCCTGAAACCTGCACTGATGCCATTTGAGGCTTCCTGGTCCTGCATTGCCTAACCAAATTCTTGTTTTCTTCTCTTCTCTCCCTGCCCTTGCCCATCCCACCTAATTCCATCCTGTGGCAGAACCGGGGTCGCCTGGCAGAGAAGAGGACAATCCCCTTACCTCCAACCAAGATCCCGAAGAAAGAGCTGACCTCCGTTTTCTCGCATAGCGACGACAGCGAAGAGAGCGATAAGAGCAATGGTCAGCACCCCGAAGTAAAGCAGGAGGAGGATCTCCACATCAGTATCATGAAAAGAAGGTAAACTCCTGCCAGGGAATGCTGCATTGCAAGAGCAGAGGCAGAGAAAACTGGGCAGCGGGTGACCAGCCTTTGTGGGGTGCCAGTGGAGTCACCTCCAGGGCCTGAAGTTCAAGTGCAGATGTCACATTACAGCTCAGAAGGATTAGTTGGCTCCTCTTTGCTACTGACTCACTCCTGTTTGGGGTGAGTAGGGCTCTATGGAGCCTTGTGTTTGCACCAGAGGTGTCTGGATTTGCAGTTGTATTTCACCCTCTGTCCAGAATTCTCTGTCTTTGTGTCTGATGAGGCCAAAGAATTCCATGACCAGGAAGTCATCTGTAGGCTTTTTACATAACTGTTTGAAAATACACAGAGGTGTCTGGGTCCAAAGTCCTGCTTTTTACTTTCAGTTGTCTCCAGGTTGTGGTGCAATATAAACTGGATAATTCAGTGTTGGGGAACAGAGTTTGGGAAGGAGGTAGCAGCACTGATGACGTGTTACTGACTACAGGTGTCAAAGAGCATAGCTGGGTCTCGCTGATCCTGAGTGCCTCTGTAGCCTAAAAGTAGAAGTACTGGAGCTGCAGTAGGAAAGAGTCACTCAGATACTGGGGCTCATCTCAGTTCTCATGTGTTTTGGTGGTGTCTTTCTCAGTACCATATACATTCAGCCTGGAACCATGCAGGTTTCAAAGAAGAAGGGAAGGGATTGTCTTGAGTTACTGTCACTTGGGCTTCAGTGCCCATAATATTCAGCTGCAGAATTTTGGGTTCTCTCATCCCTCTGATAAAAGATGATGTTTAGAAGACCTGTAACTACAGGAAAATAAACACCTGAAGGCTGTGTGCCTCAGCCTCCCATGCATATCATTGCCACTCATCTTGATTGTCATCTTCCTCTGATGCATAAAATCACTCAGATTCTAAGACAAGCCCTATAAAAACAGAGGAGTGGAAACCGAAGGCATGTAATTGCTTTCCTTATGTTTTATGTGTTTCTTGCTCCTGAGCAGATAAGTTGTTCCCCCCCCTCCCCGCCCTTTGCTTTCCAACAGATGCTGGTACATTGAGCAGCTGAGAGCTTGAAAGCAGGGAGACAAAACAGTAACCAGCCCCTCTTGTAAAACCCACCTGTAATTAAAGTGTGGGGTTAGCACTGCAGCTTTGGGTCCTCATTCTTATCCTGAAACCATAAAGGTGTTTGGAGAATGCATGTGCACAGGAGCCACAGAGGGGAGGGAACCCTCCCCATGAGCTTTGGTGTCCTGCCCTTCTTCTCCTGCCCCCTTTAATTATGCCTTTAATGCTGCAGAATGACAGTGCTGGGTTGTCTCATTAGGAGGGAGAACCACACGCTCACTGTCTAATTGATATGCTCGGCCCCCCAAATACAAAGTGCTCTTATCTTCAATCTTTAATTACTGTAATTGCTTTGCCTTGTTTATTAGGAAATGAAGGGAAAATACTTAATAGTTACTAGGCAGCGGTCCCTCAGCTAACCATGCCTGTGCTTTCCAATCAGTTTGGCTCAGGGTCTCTTGTTTAAGCTTTGTCTTGATTCCTTAGGGGAGGGCATAATTCTTCCCAAGTAGTTTAGACTCTCCTTGCTTTTGTACAGTTCTGCTCCTTTCCGTTTTCTGGGGAGCTCTGGTAGAGTTTATAGGGGAAGAACTGGAATAACTGGGGCAAACAGGGGCAGGGGGCTCAATGAGTGCAGTACCAACAGAGAAAGAGCACATAATTCAGTATATCCAGTGCTCCAATCCCTCAGTATTTCCAAGCATTTTATCCCTTGTGAATGGGTCTCCCAGCCTTCCTGTCCCAGACTGCCCCTTTCCACTGGTTCAAGAGCAATGGATGGAGAGGGATGTGACTCCAGTCCTGCTGAGGAGCGTGCTCTGCCTGTTCCCAGCATCGTTATAGGGACGGGGGCGGAAGGTGTGATGGGGCTGGCTCCAGGGACAGCAGCAGCATCATAAAGGCCAGACAGCTGACAGACATGACAGCTGGGGCCCGTCAGAGACAGTGCCCCATCTGCTTGCTGCTGTTAATTCACCTGTTGTATCCTCCCCCATTGGTGATGGATTGGGCTGAGGTTTTATTGTCTCCCACTGAGAAGAAGAAATAGGTTAAACTGTGATAGCAGAAAACAAGGTCAGGGCCTGAGCAAACCTGTGTTTTCCTCTTGTTCCCCTGGATGGCCCTCGTGCACACCTGCATTCATGTGCCATTATAACCACTTGCATTGTACACTGTTGCCTTTTCTTTCATCTCCTATTCCTAATTTCCTTTATACTGACCATTTCCTTCTGCTGTTGGCACAAGGGAATGCTTTCTGCTACTTTGAGGTCTGGGCACTGGTGAAGAAAAGACTCCAGGGATTAGAATATGAGTCAGAAGCTTAGTTTCTTGGCTGGTCCCTCACCATAGCCTTTGACAGTGATTGTCTCCGTGATCTTAGGCAATTGCCCATGGTAATGGCCTTCAGAGGAGATCTGAAGCAGAGAAAACCTGCCTCAGGATGTTCTTGCAGCCCTAGAAAGGAGCAGAGACCTGGAACTGTTACTGAAGTCAGTGCATGCCAGCTCATTTCACAGCCAAGTCCTTGCAAAACTGTGTCACTGCTGACACAGACTGTGAGCACTCAGCTCTGAAGAGGACTGGGACAGTGTTGGCAGAGGAAAATCCCTTTTCTTTTGATCACATTTCTGGTTCCTGAAGATCTGGCTCTTTTACAACACTGCCTGCATGCACCATGGCAGCCACGTCACCTGTATGGTTATTTTGGTCCTAATGATACCGGTATAGCTGAGGTGGTACAAGAACTAGAGCAGGCTTCAATTAGAAACCTTGGCTTCATGAAGCCTTTTTCCTCACAGGCTGTGAGCTGAGCTGCCTCTTCCCAGCAAGAGAAGCTAAAAGTTACAGAATCACAGAACCAGCAGCATGGGTTCATCCAGTTCCAACCCCTGCCATGGGCAGGGGCCCCTTCCACTGGAGCAGCTTGCTCCAAGCCCCTGTGTCCAGCCTGGCCTTGAACACTGCCAGGGATGGGGCAGCCACAGCTTCTCTGGGCACCCTCACAGGGAAGAGCTTCTGCCTTAGATCTATCCTAAATCTGCCCTGTTTCAGTTTGAACCCATCTCCTTGTCCTGTCCCTGCAGTCCCTGATGAAGAGCCCCTCTCTGGCTACAGATGCTTTTTTGTTACTGCTCTGGTTTATCCTAGGCACAAAATAAGCAAAGCAGAGGAAGTTTGACATGACAAATCCCATTGCTCGTCAATGATTTGGAAAACATTAACTTCCTTGCCCTCATTGGAGCATTCCATCCAACACTGATAGATGCATTACCTCAGAAAAGCCCATGAGCTTTTCCACACTGAGGTTCAAACTGCCTTCAAGGATCTTCATTATGTTATCCCAAGAACTAGTGTAAAGCCAGCATAGCCATAGAATAAGGTTCAGCTTCAACACGAAGATCCTCATATGCTGTTGGATTTATGCCCAGCATTGTCTTATGGTGTATGAATTGAATTTGGATTTTAAAGACTGGGATTTCTCATTAGTATGGGAGGGGAAGAGAAGGGGGGGAATGTAATGATAGCAGCTGAGATTTAAACAGGGTAGGTTAGGAACTGCTCATGCAGAGCTGTAAGTCCCCAGCCAAGTGGGATGGCTTGGCTAATAATGAGAGGCAGTAAATACTTAAGAACCTGTTTAAAATGGTGGAATTTTTTGACCTTCCTCTGAAAGAATCCTTTGGAATATCAGTAAACACGTACAGTGAGCTGAGAGTGGGCAGGATAGCAAATGGGGCTGTAGCAATAGGACGTGTTGGGGTGGGACTATTCTTTAGGAACTGTAGTGATAGGACAAGGGGTAAGGGGTTAAAACTTATACAGGGGAAGTTTAGATTGGATATAAGGAAGAAGTTCTTTACTGTAAGGGTGGTGAGGCACTGGAATGGGTTGCCCAGGGAGGTTGTGAATGCTCCATCCCTGGTGGTGGTCAAGGCCAGGTTGGACAGAGCCTTGGGTGCCATGGTTTAGTGTGAGGTGTCCCTGCCCATGGCAGGGGGTTGGAACTGACTGATCTTTACGTCCTTTCCAACCCAAACCATTCTGTGGTTACATGATTCTATGTATGGCAAAAATGGCTTGGAAATTCTTTTGTGGATTGGGAGCAAAAGGAGGAGCAGATTCTACAATGAGAGCATACAACAGACGGGGGTTCCTTGCCTTGCCATTGCTCTGAAATGAAAGCCATTTTGAGGAGCAGTGAAAGTTGTCCTGTAACAGGGTGTCTATGCAATGAGAAGCAGATTCCTGGAGAAGCTCATTGTGCCCTTAAATCCTTCCTCAGCTTTTTATATCACTCCTCACACCCCCAGAGCTTCTCTGGGCCTGTCAGCAGCGTGACACACATGACATTAGTGTTACTTCAGACCAGAGGAGAGCATTTGAAATGAAGATGCTTACTCAAGGAGTGATGGGACACTCTCTCCTTGCCCCTATTCAGACATGAACATGAATAGCATCCAGACAGGGGCAAGTTGCTCTCCCCTGTCCCCCAGCATCCTTCACCTCACAGACTGGTTTGACAGCAATTCTCCTCTCTCTGCCCATTTTCTAATAGTGAAATTACTGACCTGCACTAAGCCTTAATGGCTCGTGGCTGTCAGCCTTTCACCGCCTGCCTTTCTAAGTGGAAAGCTATTTCTTACATCCCATAAGGCTGCTGCTCTTTGACTCCCTAATTGATTGAAGATCAAACCCAGGCACCCCCCCCCCATTATATTTGTCACAAGCACCTGCTTGGAATTCAGGGCTCTGAGGCCCCACTGCCTTCTCAGCTGATGTGCAGTGCACAAAACACTGCCTTTACCTTCCTCCTCTCGCTTGGCCTCTATCTGAACTGCTTCCAAACACTGGGAGCACTGCCCTGTGTGACATCCCCGCTCCCATGGAGCTGTTCCATGGCAGGATATACCACACGACGCTGCTTTTTACCTGCTGCCAAAGCCAGAGCATGGCTGGGGGCTCGGCTGAGCCGACAAGCTCTTCCAAGCAGGAGAGAAACGAGACACATGACAGAGCAGGGCTGCAGGCTCCAGCCGTGAACCAGGCTCTTAGATTAGATCCGACAGCCCTTCTTCTAATTGCTGTGACTCAAGGGGAGGGAGGCAGGGCCCCTCTTGTGGCTGGAGACATATTCTGCTGCTTTATGACACTTCTTACACAGCTTCCACGGGTTATTTGCTGTTAATCCCTTCTTCCTTCCCCTGCGACCCTTTATTTTCTATTCTCCTTTCTCTTTCCTCCCTCCTTTCCCCTTTTTCTCTCTCACTTAATAACAGTCACTGTATTCAATATATACATTAAAGAACCCTCTGGGAAGCAAAGGCTGGACATGGGCCAGAGTGCCAGGAAGCATGTCATTGCCCTAATGAGGACATACACTTCATGGGGGAGAGAGGGAGGGAAAATGGCTACTTACTTCCCAGGGATGCTGCAGGATAAAAACAGCAAGAAATCCCTTCTTGCCCAGGAAGGAGATAGGAGAGCAAAAAGCGAGGTGAACTGTGAGAATGAAAGCAAATGAAATCTTGACCCTCAAGTGCTCTCTATATCTCCTTGTATCTGACCCTTGCAACATCAATTCCATGGTGGAGAATAACCCACATGCCCCAAGTCCAGGTCTCAGTCTTGCTGCAATCTTAAGGCCATTCTTCCAGTCATCACGTATGAGGTTTCCTGGAGGGGCCAACCCTTGTTTATTGCCTGCACAAGCTTCTTTATATTGGCTGCCTGAAAACAGCATGGAATGGATACAGGGAGACTGTGGAAGCTGAGACAGTGTGGAAAGAGCAACCTGCTCTAGTGGAAGGTGTCCGTGCCCATGGCAAGGGGTTCAAAGTGGATGAGCTTTAAGGTCCCATCCAACCCAACCCAATCTAGGACTCTATGACTCTGTATTCTCTACTGAACACTTTCTAACTGCTCACACTGTGTCTGACACCTTGGGTTGCTGGGGAGGTGGGAGAGGCAGTAGCAGCAGTAACACCTTTGCCTGGTGGTGGCTTTTATTTCTGCCCCTCCTTTTCTGTTACTAATTAGCAAGGGACTGGCTCCTGCTCCCCATGCTTTATAGACCCCAAGGACGGGCTTGTGTAGCTGATAGTTTGCAAATGATTAGTAATTTGATTTCAATTGGACGAATGACCCCTTACAGCAAGATGTACATCAGCCTCAGGAATCTAATTGGTGGTAACGGTGTAGAGAGTGCTTGGTTCTGCTCCTCATCCCGCCCTCCTCCCACCCCCAAAAAAAAGATAATGAGAATTTAATTTCATTCTCACCTATCCATTTGTCTAAATATGGGTGTTTAATTATCCATCTTGGCAGATAGATGTTTCTGCCCCCGTGTGGATCTGAGCTATTCCCTTGGTATGAGGTGTGTGTCCCCCCCCTTACAACTCCCTGATGCACTGTTCTTATACTTTGAGGTTTAGCTGTGCTGTCTCATGTATGAGATGTGCCTTTGCCTGGCTCTAGGATCACGCTCTGCAGCCTGCCCGTGTCAGTACCTGTAGTAGACAATGAGAAGTTACATCTTGTGGGAGGCTGAGTTTAACATGGAGATGAAACCCTGAGTGGAGAGCCCGCAGCCCAGGCAAGCTTCTGCTCTGCTCTTAGTTCCCTTTGCCACCTGAGCACATCATTGCAGCCCTGCTCTGAGAGTCCAGGATGAAAAACACTCCTTTACCTGCCAGGTAAAGTAGGTGCATTCTACCACATGTTGTAAGCCCAAGGGACAGACATGTAGTTAGCTGAGCTTTGGTGGTAGAGCAGAACAGGGTTACTTATACCCCCGTTGTTAGGCTCTGAACACTGCTTGGAGGAAATGCATGTTGCCTCTTGAGGCCCATGGGGCAGGTTACCTTAAGCACAGGTTTGCTGAACTGAAAACATGACCAGGAAAGGGATCATGGGGTTCTAATGAATCAGAAACATGGCTTTTAATATATCTATAACTCAGCATAAACAGGAGAAGCACAAGGTTCTTTTTCAGCAGTTTCAGTTCCAGCTGGTCCCGCAGTGTTCATCACTGGGCAGTGTTTGGAGCTCTCCCAAGGATCTGATCTGCGCAGTGCAAGGTGTTGAGCTGGAATTAAAGGGGGTTTATAAAGGTTTTGTGGATGAGGAAACCTTGTATTGGAGGGAGCAGTGTGGAATCAGGCTGACCACCCAGTTCCGCTCTCATGTGAGCAGGCCAGACCCTTGTGTGCCTGTCAGCCCCATCAGGGTGCTTTGAATTGGCTTTGAACTTTGGACTCAGAGCAGCTTACCTGGAAAGCCCAAATGTGTCCCAGAGCTTGGCTACACTTCAGTTCATAGAAACACTACTCAGTGCCCCAGTTTGGTCTGTTTTAAATGTCTGGAGTTTCACTTTGAAGAGCAACTGTTACTGCTGTAAGCTCAGCAGCTGGGAAGTACCTGTTCCATTTCTATTTGCAAATAAAATGCTGGGAAGATGGAAAGCTGGGATAAGTCTTTTAAATTGTTGTATATGAGGAAGAAAAATAGGAAAAACCGGGAACAATTGGAATTACTGAGTACGGCTCTGAGCATAGCTTCGTTGGTGGCAGGTGATATCTGCCGTAATCTAACCAACCCCTAAAAGAACTTCTCAGAGCAACCAGGCTGCCTTCCTGAGAGCACACCAGGAATGCTATCACATTAGTAAAACCTGCAGCACCATCCTGTCTTGGATGTGAAATTGTTTCCGTGCTAAGGGTTGTTTTCAGTTGATTTCTGAGCCAGGCTGAGGCAGAGGCACCCATTCAGGGAAGCACTTAAACAGACACTCTAAACCTGAGTTAAGTCCCATTGACTTCCCTGGTCATGCTTAAGTGCTTTCTGGCCCAATTCAAAGCACATTCAAATAGGGAGAAAGGCTCTCTTTCACTTCAGCAGGCTTTAGATTAGGCTGCTTCTGCAGTCAGGTGGTCTTCAGCTACACACTTGCTTTTTCTAGCTGAGGACAGGGGCAGGAATGCTGTTGGGATACACAAAATGCACAAAAGTATATTTGGCTTCTGCTGCTTGTCGTCTTTTCAGCCACTTCTGTTTAATGCATTTGGGAGCCTACATCTGCAGGAGCTGATTTATACACACAGCTAAGAACCAGCGTGTTCACTGCCTGATGCTGAGAGATGTGGGAGTGGGTTTGTGCAAGGAGCCAGGCTCAGATGGATGGGATTCTCATCCATCATGTTGTCATGGAGAAACAGTGGTGGCCACAGAGCACTGAGCTGGTGGTGGGGGGTCAGTGCTCGAGTGGAGACACCAGACCACAGAAGGTCAAGCATCTGCCTTAGCCCTCTGGGTCGGTGTGGATGCTGTCGAGTAGCAAGAGAGAAAAAGCTGAACAGCAGCAAAACCCCAAGTCCCTTGGCTGCTGTGTGTTAATTCAGGACATTGTTCATCCAGAAGCTGCTGTTCCTGCTTGTCAGCAGCAGAGTGACAGAATCCGTGGAATTAATTTCCGAGGTGGGAAATAGCTAATAATTTATTTACAGGTGGGGTGGGTGCAGAGGAGGGAACGCAGCACAGCCACGTTTGGGTTTCCTTCAGGAAATGTCACTGCTTAGCTCTTGCTGCTTCCTCAGAACGTGCCCTATTAGTGGAGACAGCATCCTGCAGTCCCCACACCTATTAGAGAGGCTGCATGCAGCAAGGAGGAGTTCTCTCACCGCTGTACAGCTCACCTGCAGGGCTCATTTACAGCAGTGGGTCCTGCTGTGGGCATGCAGGACTCGTGTGTGTGCAGTGCAGCACCCCATGGCTCAGGAGGGGGCTGTAGTTGTGGTTGAGAGCTAGGCAGAGGGACCATGGGTGGGTTGTTATGAGGGAGCAGATTTGTTAAGTGGCAAGAGATGCAGTGCATGTGCCATTGACCTCTCTGTTTGTTTGTCAACAGGATACACACCCACTGGGATTTAAACATCTCCTTCCGAGAGACCTCTTGCAGGTACCATTTTGGGGCACCCTCTTTGTATGGTAGGCTAAGAGTTTATGATCTGTTACTGGCATATGGATGCTGTTAGATGTAAATGAACGTTTCTGTCAGTGCTGTGGGGTTTTTTTTCTTCCTCCTTTGTTCCTTTTTCCTCCCCTTACAAATCCTTTCTTTTGTTTGTATTTCGGGGACATTGTCTGTGGGGGGGAAACAGTCTCTTATGTTGGGAGAGAGAATTGATTAGACTGAAGAAAGACCATTATTGATTTATATGTCTGCTTTAGTTCCTTTTTGGAAGCATGCAAGGTTGGGGTGGCCCAGATCTATATCCCAACATGAGACATGGGAATCTGCATCTCATGTGCAGAAGTGATTCTTTGTGCAGAAGGCTCATTGAAGGCCATAGTAACTGATGCTCCTGAGTTGCTCAGGAGTTGTGTTTAGCCAGCTTAACTCAGTGCTACCTGTAAAGGTGGCACAAATGGCGAGAATCACTGGGGGAAAGATGCTTTAGATAATGTGGTAACCCTGGGACACTCTGGTCCTGCAAAAACCTTAAGCATGTAGTCATTCAACTGCAGTGTGTGAAGTGTTGTAACCGCTAGGACTCTGCATTTGACACTGTGAAGTGTGACTGGGTTGAAATACAGCTGCAAAAGTGCATTGCAAGAGGATTTATGAGTGGGTAGAAGTTGACATTCAAATGACAAGTGTTTTACAAAGCATAAATACAAGAAATGAGGTAAGAGTCTGAATTGTGAGAGGAGAAGGATTGCCAAACCAGTGGTGGATTGGGTTTGAAGTCTGGTTTCCTGCACTCACAGATCCCTAAGAAAGTGGAAATTCATCAGTGGAAGATACCCAGTTATAGACATGAGTATTCCTTTGTGACCTCTGGTCAGTTGATACACCCTGAACGTGGTGCGTTTTCATTGGTAATAGTCACAAACTTCTCTAATCCTTTAAAATGTAGCTGCAGAAGTTGCACTAGAAGAGGAAAACTGGCATTTTGAACCTCGGTTTATGCTGAATCAGAGTGAAATAGCTGAGTCTGGTATTAATGAATTTGCGCAGCAGAGAAGGAGGTAGATGGGGTGTAGAAGAGTCCAGAATCTGGTTCTGTATGTGCTGCATACACACGGATACTGTAGGAAGCAGGATCTGGTCCATTGGATCTGCCTGCAAGTAGCAGTCCACTGAGAGCATCTTTGTTTTTGCTAGAAGTAGTTTATGATGCTGTGTGTGAACTTCCTGCTCTTCAAAACAGTAGAAAAATGCTGCTACTACTACTGGTACTACTACTGCTACTAGTGCTACTACTACCACTGCATGCTAGACACTACACATACATTTAAGAAATGATTCGTACTCTGTAGAGAGCAGCTTGTCTGAGCAAGGGAGTGCAAATAAATTTATCTGATGACTTCTGTGACCAGAGTTAATGTGTGTAAGACTCAGTGCAGCAAATGTAGTGTTGACTTAAGAGAACATTGTTTAAGAGCTTTAGGGAGATGTACCCATCCATACTGTGGGGGGTGTGGGCATCTCTGTTGTACACACTATTTGCACATATACCCACTCACTCCCTGCTCCAGCCTGAGGACAAGCTGGACTGTTGTGTTGCCAGCATTGGTGGGTGAAGGTTGTAGCCTGAACAGTGCCTGTGGAGGGACAAGTCCATCTCTGCTTCATTGAGTGCTAGGGTATGAATTATGTCCTGGCATCCCCATGAGGCTCAGGGGAGGCCGTGAGGAGTGAAGGGTGGGAAAGCTGCACTGATTCACACCCCATTAGGGAGTGGATGAGGGCAGAGGTACTCACTGGTATGTATGTAAGCACAGACTTTGGCCCTGAAGCATACACCCCCATAACTCCTAAAATTGACAATGTTAAGGATACAAAACCCACCCGGATCAGGGAGCATCTGGAAGCTGGTCTAGAAAGCACATCTCATGCAGCACTTGTATAAAAACCCACTGAGGGAGGGGGTTTATATGGCAGCCTTTAGACTAAAATCCCTGGTTTGTTGCTATGAGCTTTTGGGGCTAAAATACAAAGGGATGGATTCCTTCCAGCAGAACCTTGCATGATGAATTTCAGCCCAGAGCACAGTTTTACAGCTGGGTTATAAATTCCTAAAAGAGAGAGCTTTGTAGTGGAAGCACTGACACAAGCCTTAAGTAGTAGCCATGTGAAGCAGGATCCTGCACAAAGGGTGCAAACACCTTTGGAAATGAGAATCCCTGTCTTAAAAAAGGATTTAAATCTGATCTTCCAGTGCATAGAATAAAGTAACGGTCTGGTTTTTACATCAACAAGTGCACTTCTTCAGACTCCTCAGTTTAAGTGTTTGTGCCCTTCAGTTTAGCTCTCTCCGGGCAGAAGCATTGGTAGCTCCTCCTGGGAATAGAAGTTTTGCAGATTAAACAGTCCAACTAAAGTCATTCATCAAGGTCAGAAGAAAACAACAGGCAATGTGCTGTGTGGCAGGGAAAGACAAATGTGTTGGCACAGAAAAGGGTTGTATGTATTTAAGTGACCTGCATTGCCACATGGTTCTGTGTACATACATCATGGGGTGGCAAAGAGGTTTAGCTGACCCCTGTTCTCAGGGCCCTGTGTCGGGGGACGTGGACATGGGAGTTAACACAGGTCATCCCAAAGCCATGCCGGGACATCACTAGGGTGTGGATACACACAGACACTGTGCTGCTTTAATCAAGCAGGGCTGAGAGTTGCCATCTTCATTTCCCTGCCCCTTTGGCATAAGGTTGTCTTTGATCTTCCTTTCCAAGTTGACAGGAAATACCTGGATTCATTGGATTCCACCTTGGGATTGCTGTCTGCATTGTCCCGGATAAAAAGACATTTAATTGGGTACAAGTCGTTCTGTATGCAACAAACCAAAAGCTCCAGGTAGGAGAATTGTCCTCAAAGGAGAGATTAGGATCTCTTCTTGTCTTGCCAGATGCTTTGCTCCCTTCCCTTTTAAGCTTGGAGGTTAATACAGGTGTGAGGCTTTGCTTATAGCTAGTCTTCCTTGAACATTCCCTTTTAAAGGTAGAATTTCCTTATCTGGACGTGTCATTCCTGGAATAGTTGCTGAAATGTGTTCAAGTTGCTCAGTAAGTGATGCACTTCCTTTATTCTCCAATACTAAACCCAAGGTTAAAGCCCGGTCTGTGTCTGCTCTGTGCTCCCCTCGATTCCAGTGTCTGTCACAGTTGCTCAGCACCACGGGCAGGATTTACCTTCCTGAGGCTGAGGCATCTCATGAAAACAAATTGTGGACTAAAAAGGAGTTCCAGGCAGGAAAAGGATTTTCCTTCTGTTTGTTGCCACTTGATGTCCTGAGGGAATTGCAGGGAGGTGAGTGAGAAATAGATAAGAGGCCATGCATGTTAATGCCGTGGAGGGATGCAGCTCTGGGTGGAATAAGCATTTTGCCCACCTGAGAATTTCAAGGCACTGACAGTGCAATTAAACCATCCCTGTTTCCAAGGGAGTGGGGAGTTTTTCACTGGTGCCCTTGTTAAAGATGACCTGAGTGGCAGGAAAGGAGATGCTGCGTAATTTGGTTCAAGCTGCATACAAAGACAAGGAGCAGAGAATTGAGCCCCATGCTTCAGCTTTGGGCGGCATGGTAAGCAAACCCTGACAGCGTATCCAAGGCAGCATAAGTCCTGTGCCGGTGCAGGCATAAACCAGTGACAAAGGAGCATGCAGGAGTGTCTCTTCACTGCCATATGAACAAAAAGCCACTTGAGGGGCACTCCAAGCTTACTGGGGATGGTTTTAGCCAGGTCTCTCCTACATGAAGACTGCCTAAGGAGATGGAAGGAAAACAAAAGCACTGTTTGCCCAGAGCAAGCAAAATGCATTTAACAAGCACAGTTTAAACAAAGGTTACAGTGGTGTGTAACCAGCCTTTCTGGATGGGCATGAACCACATTAGAATGTGTTTGAGACAGACTTTTGGCCAAGAGCCTGTGTATCCGTGTGTATGTGTATGTTTAAGTTGGACTATAACATACTTAGGGCCTTTCCACCTTGATTTAATCCTGGCATCAACTCTTACTTGGCCAGAACTGGGTTTCAACAGTGCTTAAATTGGGTTGTTGTAGGTACATGTTACGTTTTAGGAACTTGTATTTAAGGAGGAATTAAACAGGTTGGTCAAGAAGGAAGAGGACATGAAACAAATCAGGCCAAGTGGAAGAAGTGGGTGAAAAATGCATGGGAAATGGGACAGCAGAAGCAAACTGAAGGGGAATTCAGTGACTTAGTTCATGCCTTTGGACAGATACACATGGTGTGAGTAAAGGAAAACAGGAGAGGAGAATCGAAAAGTAGGCAGTTTGGATCATGTCAAGGCCAATCCTGACTCAGCAGGAGGTATTACTGTGTGATACAGGTAACGTTACCAAGTGCCGGAGCATCCTGCTGCTCTGCCCTTTAAGGATTGATAGAGGATGGCTTCTGGGCTGTCTACTTTTTTATTTAGTTCTTTATTTTCCATTGTAAGCTTTTGCCTTTTAATCCAGAAGAACTGAAGTAGGCACTGAAAGGTCACAAGTTTTTAGCAGCTGGAAGCTGGATGTGTCCCCTTAACACCCTGCAGCCTTTAGCATCCGCTGCTGAAAGAGCTGGTGCCTGTAAGTTCCAGGGAAAACCAGACAGTGGCAGAGGGACAAGAGAGCCCTCAAATGGGGACCTGCCTTCACCCTGCCCTGCCAGTCTCTGGTTTCTGCCTCCACACCAACAGGCAGCAGGGCTGGAGCAGTAGCCCCAGTTGCAAAAGCTGATTGTGAGCTGAACTAAAGAGAACGAGGTGATTTTTGCCCCTCAGATTTGAGTCAGGGCAGAGAACACTGATGGAATAGCAACTGTATGGAGAGCTGCAGAGCTGCTTCCATAACTCATGGTGACTTTGGAGGACAGCTCTTGACTGTATGCTAGGGAAAGCTTAAAGAGATCCCAGTGAAACGCTGCAGAATGTATTAACCATGACT